AATACCACTTAATTATACATAAATAACATCTAACAAATAACAACATTACTTGTTTACCAAATTGATATAAAATGACAGACTAAGGCTGTTTTTTGGGTGTGTTTTTTTCCATGACAAACAACTTACAAGTATAGATGAATAACAAGATATGTTTGTAAAACATGTATGCCCCCTATCAGCAGCCAATTAGTCATGTGATAAGGTTATTATGCATGACTTCTGACCCAGTGATCAAACAATTAATAAGGGTTATCAAGTATCTACTGGTCATGACCTTAACCTTTGACCCCTTGACCCAAAACTCAATAGGGGTCATCTGCTGGTCATGACCAATCATCATACAAAGTTTGAAGTTCCTAGGCCTAAGCGTTTTTAGTTAATTGATCGGAAACTGTTTTTACCTACAAGGTCAATGTGACCTTATCCTTTGACCCCAAAATCAATAGGTCATCTGCTGGTCATGACCAATCACCATACCAAGTTTGAAGTTCCTAGGCCTAAGGGTTCTTTAGTTATTGATCAGAAACCGTTTTAACATACAAGGTCAATGTGACCTTGACCTTTAACCCAAAAATCAATAGGGGTCATCTGCTGGTCATGACCAATCACCATGCCAAGTTTGAAGTTCTTAGGCCTTAAGGTGCTTTAGTTATTGATCGGAAACCGTTTTTACTTACAATGTCAATGTGACCTTGACCTTTGACCCCTTGATCCCAAAATCAATAGGGGTAATCTGCTGGTCATGACAAATCACCATACCAAGTTTGAAGTTCCTAGGCCTAAGTGTTCTTAAGTTATTGATCAGAAACCGTTTTTACTTACAAGGTCAATGTGACCTTGACCTTTGACCCCTTGACCCAAAACTCAATAGGGGTCATCTGCTGGTCATGACCAATCATCATACAAAGTTTGAAGATCCCAGGCCTAAGCCTTTTTAGTTAATTGATCTGAAACCATTTTTACCTACAAGGTCAATGTGACCTTGACCTTTGACCCCTTGACCCCAAAATCAATAGGTCATCTGCTGGTCATGACCAATCACCATACCAAGTTTGAAGTTCCTAGGCCTAAGGGTTCTTAAGTTATTCATTGGAAAGCATTTTTACCTACAAGGTCAATGTGACCTTGCCCTTTGACCCCTTGACCCCAAAATCAATAGGGGTCATCTACTGATCATGACCAATCACCATATCAAGTTTGAAGTCCCTAGGCCTAAGGGTTCATTCGTTATTGATTGGAAACCGTTTTTACCTACAAGGTCAATGTGACCTTGACCTTTGACCCCTTAACCCCAAAATCAATAGGGGTCATCTACTGATCATGACCAATCACCATACCAAGTTTGAAGTTCCTAGGCCTTAAAGTTCTTAAGTTATTGATCGGAAACCGTTTTTACCTACAAGGTCAATGTGACCTTGACCGTAGACCCCTTAACCCCAAAATCAATAGGGGTCATCTGCTGGTCATAACCAATCACCATACCAAGTTTGAAGTTCCTAGGCCTAAGGGTTCTTTTGTTATTGATCAGAAACCGTTTTTACCCAAGAGGTCAATGTGACCTGGACCTTTGACCCCTTGACCCCAAAATCAATAGGGGTCATCTACTGATCATGACCAATCACCATACCAAGTTTATAGTTCCTAGGCCTTAAAGTTCTTTAGTTATTGATTGGAAACTGTTTTTGCTTACAAGGTCAATGTGACCTTGACCTTTGACCACTTGACCCCAAAATCAATAGGGGTCATCAACTGATCATGAGCAATCACCATACCAAGTTTGAAGTTCCTAGGCCTTAAGGTTCTTTAGTTATTGATCGGAAACCGTTTTTGCTTACAAGGTCAATGTGACCTTGACCTTTGACCCCTTGACCCCAAAATCAATAGGGGTCATCTACTGGTCATGACCAATCACCATACCAAGTTTGAAGTTCCTAGGCCTAAGGGTTCTTTAGTTATCACTCGGAAACCATTTGGTCTACGGACCGACGGACCGACGGACCGACAAGTGCAAAGCAATATACCCCCTTTTCTTCGAAATGGGGGCATAATAAAGAGTCAATGTCTGTAGTTAAACAGCAAATATCTCCTAGACTTAAATGACCAAGCAAAATGTTCATGAAATGTCTTCTGAAGGTCATGCCAAATGCAAGTAGCTTTTAAATAAAGGCAGTTCTGCTTTTCATAGCCCATGCATAACGGTAAAAGATATTCTACCTCATATCATATGATAAAATAAATTTCTAAAATTACAGTCAACTGAATGTCACACTCTCACATGGCACATACCTTCTCAAAGCAATTAAAGAAAGTCATATTTATGAAATACAAATGTATATTCCTTTGTTGGTTTGTTCTAAAGACTAATTGACGCTTCCAGTCTTTTAAGCTTTAATATGCTCTATTGTGAAGTCATTCTTTTTTATATACATTGTAGTATACTCTCACAAAAAAAGTACAAAACAGAATAGTTTTTATTTTTAACTGGTCACACGACAGTGGGTATATTAAAGTATTTAATTACAGTACAGAAATCTTATCTTACTAGGAAGCTTATAAATGACAAGATAAATCTATATATCCTATCATAGCTTAAAGAATGATCAATATTTTACCCTAATCAAACAATGTTATACTAATCAACTTCTAGCCAAATATATCTATAGTATACATTTATGTATGATCATAACCATTAACAGGTAAAGTAAATAGTATACTGGTCAGCTGCCAAACAAGCTAATATCTGTAATAGAACTGAATTATTAATACATGTACATGAAAACTTAGAATATGTCCTAATTTGTGGTATTTGTTTTTAGGAGAGACACAGACAAAAAAATTATAATACATCCTTAAATCAATACCTTCCAAAGGGTGTTTTTTATGTTATATTAATACAATAGAGAAATAAATCTTGAAATAAATCTATAAACAATTAGTGACAGGTTATTTATATTAAAGGTTCAATGTTAACACAGTGGCATTTTGTTTCATGGGAGAAACATGTACAACAGAGTTTTGCATTAAACTTTAATATTGTTTTTTTTTTAATTTCGTTTTTTGTTGTGGGCGAAAAAGTTCATTTATCATAAATGATGTTTCACTGCCTTTGTTCAATAAGGATATGTTACTTAATATGACCAAAAAAATCTATGGTTCCTTTGCCAAAAACATACTAATTAAGACATGCATAATTAAAACAATACTAATTAGTTATTGGCCATTGCCATGCTAAATATCTTTTTACTTTGTAAGCTTCACAAAAAATTTACACATTGAAAAAACTAAGGTATTAGAACACTATATTTACTATAAAAGTGAACATAAATCTGGAGGGTGTGTTGCTTCAAAAATTGATAATTTCATCTACAGTCAAACAACCAGTAATATACTGGCATGGTGCTTATAAACAGGTAAAACAAAATAATACAATATTCACAGAACAATAATTTTTCACAATTTTTTTACTAGACTAGTCATTCCTTCTTGTTACCAAACCTTCAAATGATGCAAGTTCTGAAATAAACATTGACAACAAACTACTATACAGAATGAAGACAACAATGGACTTGGTGAATTGTTTGACAATGTTAAATTTTATCATGTTCTTAAAGCACTGTTGAACTAAATGTATATCTAAAACACTTCCATCTCAAGCTGTCATTTCTGGAGCCCTTTATCAATCATGTGCAAATCAGCCCATTATCAATCATGTGCAAATTAAGATGAAAAGTTTGACAGCCAATGCAAATTGCCTTATCAAAATGCACAAATGCAGAAGGCTGGAGTGGCTCTGTACTGAGCATTCTAAGCATAAAATGAAGGGCCATACTAAAGTTTCATCAAAACATTATCTTATTTTTTAAACTCAGTCTTGCATGGACACTTGGTTCGAAAAAGAAGCTAAAAAATTTATTACCTTATAAATATGCCACAAGACATAACAATATCAACAGTATGGAGTCTTTTTTAAGTTCATTTACCTTATAGAAAATCTAAGCAAAGAATTGTCTCCAATCCAAAACAAGTATTTTATCACTTCATGCCACAATAGTAAACTATCATTCAATCATCTTTCAACAATTCTCAAGAATTTGAAATAATCTCTTTCTTTCCACTAAAGTCCCTCTACCATTCTTAAAGTGTTCCATCCATTAAAAGCTTATATAAAATCAGCCAACTTTATCACTTTTCTCTGTTCCTATAATCTCATAATAGTTACAGCACATAGATTAATAATTAAGCTCTTTGTCACAAAGACACTTAAATATGAAATTATCTCTTTTTTTGCAAGAGTTGTTTCCCTTTTTGCTAAAAATTATCTCCCTTTGGCTTTTTGTGGAACAGTAGCTTGTTTTATTTAATAAACAGAGAGAGCTTATGATGGATGTACCACTTTCATTAACAAATTCTAGATGGCATTCCAACATTCAATCTTGCTTTTCATACATGCAAAGGTAGTGTAAACGATTTAGAAATCTTGCAGGGAATGTTTGACGTTATCATGCAACAAAACAAAACTGATAGGACTCTGGATCTATCATATTATGATGTGACTCTGGGACTATCATAATCATAATAGGTGTGCTTTCAAAAATTATCTTAAAAATGGGTTATAACTTTACTAACAATCAAGTATATCTATCAAACCAATTTTTATATCATATCAGAATTTTTTTACTTTAAATGACACCTGAGAGAAATAAATTATAAGAAATTATCTTTGTAATATACATTTTTATATTCATGTATATATTTAAGAACTTTGCAAAAAGATACTTAAATAAATATAACAAGTGTACAAAAGGACGTACTTGTATTAAAAAAATCTTTTGATATTATTTTCTTTTTTTTTTCAGTACAGTACTTTTAGTTCAATTTAAAAAGCTTAGAGTTGGAGTGAAAATGCCTTTGCAGAACACAAAAATATGCATTGATAGATACACTTATAATGACACAACTTCACAAAAAGAGGATGTGATCAATATTGCTCATAATGTTACCTGGCTGGTACTGGGCTGGATAAGGAGCTAAAGAAAATAAATAAAACAAAAAACATTAATTAGTGAGGAAGAAAAAGTTCCCAATGAGAAGACTCATCCTGTGGGTCACAATCCTCCCCCACCCCCCCACCCCCCCAACCCCACCTCAAAGAAAAGAATATCAATCTAAAGAAGATTAAATTATCACCAAATTTCTGAAAAATAAACAACTCTCAATATATGATATTTTGCACAATTTGTAAAGACATTTACCAAATTAGCATGATACACAGTTTCAAAGAATGCAAGCACTTCTTAAGATGGAATATTCATCGAGTTATACAATTCTTGACTTTATTTAAATATTATTGTAAGATTTCACAAAAAAGTAGTGAAAGAGATAATGATGAAGTTTCAGTTTAACCAGCAGTTTTATGCAGTTTAACTAGGAGATTTATAAGTTTAAAGATGACACACAAAGTTAATTTATTATGAGGAATCTATGCCAAAAAATCATGTGTCTCAGATTTTTATCTTTAACATGTATGACATTTCAACTGGTGAATAGTCATTTGGCTTGGCTTTACTAAAGTAGTTGAACAGAAATAAAGTTGCAAACAAAACTAAACCTAGTTGATACACAAAGGAAAATATTAACCCTAAATAGTCAGTAAAATTAATGTTTAAGTACTGGTATTAAAGGTAGTTTATGTTGAATGTCAGTGTCAGTAAAATTTAATAGGTTTTTGACTGACCGTATTTTTATATCTTACTTATATCAGTAAACTCTGATGCTAGAAACACACAAATAATACATATACATAACAAAGTTCATTTGCATACAAAAATATATATACTGAATATTTGGATAAACCTTTTTGACTCAGTCTCCATGCTTTACATATATATGTATAGACATTTACATAAACATAAATGGTTATAACATACATAATGCTTATCTAAAATTATCTTCACTGACCATGCCCCGTCCTTGTAGTAACTGTATATAAGCTACGTCACAACAAAACCAACAACATAATGGGTTTGCGACCAGCATGGATCCAGACCAGCCTGCGCATCCGTACAGTCTGATCAGGATCCATGCTGTTCGCTTACAGACCCTATAACAAGTAAAGAAACTAACAGCAAACAGCATGGATCCTGATCAAGATAAGCAGATGCGCAGGCTGGTCTGGATGCATGCTGGTCGCAAACCCATTATCTTGGTTTTGTCATGACTCGAATAAATCTTGTATAATATAAAAAGAAAATTAATATTTACTTATCAACAATCTTCCACAACAATAATTAACTTTACCATGACCTCTACAATAAAAGGTTACATGCATATATCATTTAAGGTAATTGAATAGTAAATTTAAACACTGTGTTAGCTTTCAAATAATATGTAAGTAACTTTGAAAAAAGGTTACGTTTAGTTCTTCACAATTAAGTTAACTTTTCAAAGCATAAGTCCCACGATGAACACAAATAGTTCTAAGAGAATTGTCTTAAACCACTTTCAAAATGAGCTAGTGAGTGAGTTATATTTTATGGCAATTGACATGAATGAAGTCAGACTTCACTGTAACCTTTTTAAGAACTATGGAATTGATGTAAGAACTTCTCATTACATGTCAATTACCAATGTTGGGGTTGTTCAGATATAACATGTGCAATTAAGTGCATGTATATCATAGGTCTAGAAATTGGAAGTTCAGCATTACCTTTGTTGTGATATGTGTTAAGTCACAAAATATTTCAAAGCCATACAAAAAAGCTAATACAGTGAGGAACACAAGAAATTGTATGCGGAAATCATGAATAAAATTTTTATTATTATTATCTACATGGATATTTTCTTTACTGATATGATTGCATAGTATTAACTATTTCAATAAAAACTTTCAACAATTATTTATAGAGGCTTTATTCATGTAATAAGAAAAACAATCATATGGTATAAACAGTTAAGTAGAATATCATGCTTTTAACTTTTGTATAATTTAGTATAAAACATAATTAACAAAATTTAGATAAATTACAATCAGTTTAAAATACTTAAATATCAAAATGCTAAAACTGTGCTGCCAACGGTAGATTCTTGTTTTGCAGGATGGTCTAGCTATACAAAATAGTGTTATTAAAGTCATGGCTAAATCATCATCATCATGATCATCATCATCCATCATCATCACCATTTCTTCCACAAAAAGACATAGTTACAAGCATTTTGTATAAAACAGAAATAGCAAAATAAGCCTATTTTCTTATAATATAATCATATCATGTACAGACAACATGAATGAAACAGTATGCAATCATTCTATTTTCAAATATGCAAACAATTTGACAAGTTGGAAATATGTAACCAACACAAAATAAGTAATGAGAGGTTTTATGTTATCCCAAATTTTATGGATATACAAGATCATTTTATCTCTTTAAATTGAATAAGGATAAGGTAATATGAACTTGTATAGACCAGAGTGAGATATTAGGCTAATTTTGGCAATCAAACTTTAAGTTAAAAGAGCTCTACTGAAGTCGAACAGTCTAAAAAAATAAAATTTATACTTAAAGTTAAATTGAAAACTGATTTTTTTGCACCATTTTAGCCTGGTTTGTGTCAAACTAAAACAATGCATTTCATTTTTTTTTTAAACAATGTTTCTCATTTTTTTTTATCATTTTGCCCATTAAAATAATTCTTCTGGGAAAACAGAGTGAGGGAATGACCTGAAATTTTGTACATGCATTATTAGCCCAGTCCTTCATCAAACAGTACATAATTATTGAAAAAAAAAATCCATGCATGCGAAAAAACAACCAAACTCGGTGCAGTCCCTTTAATCATTTAATGTTATACAGAAGTATTGATTGGTGCTTCATTTTTATTGAAAAGACATTAAGATTCCAGCTTTTCTACTCAGGTGTAAGATAACATCTGTAAATCTCTTAACATTATTTCAGTTAGAGGCAGACAACTGAATAGAATAAACGATAGCTGCAACATAAATTAATTCAAGAGATTCATTCTCTAGTAGGAGAGAGTAGCATCCACCTTTTAGTTAACAACTTTACTTAACTTGTTACATCTTCTAATATAGAAGTTAGATCAACAAAAATGTTAGTAATTAAAGCAAAATAACAATTGGATAAACAAAATGAAAAACACACAATACATATCTCACCTGGTTGACCATACTGTGCTCCGTAACCTGCTAATTAATTTACAAAACAAAGAACCAATAAATAGCTATAAATATATTATACTGTATATATATTTCCAAGCAAAAGAAATAGCTATAGCATATGCTGAAGGTAAGATTGAACAATTTCTTGAACCCTTTGGCTAACTTAACTGTGATGATATTGCCCTACTTCTGTCTTCGACTTAGCTGTCTTATCTATAGAATTTATTCATTTTAAAAGGTTCAGAAATATTCATTTTTTCTTCATAAACCTGAGCGGTCTGTCATACACTTAAACCAAATAAAGGTAGTCATCTTATGTGTGAATGCTCAATTTTGAGCAAAACACAGATGAAATTTCTAGTCCAAAAACACAGGTTAAAATCCCAGTCCTAAAACACAGATGAAATTAAATTCCTAGTCCTTAAACACAGATGGAATTAAATTCCTAGTCCTAAAACACAGATGAAATTCCTAGTCCTAAAACACAGATGAAATTTCTAGTCCTAAAACACAGATGAAATTTCTAAGTACCGTAATATGTTCCAAATTCCCTTCATAGGTAAGTTTTTATGACAGTAGTTTTTTTTTTCAATAAGTTCAATCAACACCTTCATGTAATTATTCCATCCATCAAATAACTTGCATCACTTCCTCTAACTTGTTACTTTATATTTTTTCATGATTTCTTTTTTAACTAAAAAGCAACAGGGATGTTTTCATTTCACATCATTGTAATCTTTTTTACATTTCAATCTCTTTTAGCTGTCTTTATCAACACAGGTTATCAACACAGGATTAAGTAGTTACTGCACCTAATTTTCCTCAGCTATGATTTGATGGATGGTTAACCTTTACCTTATTTACCAAAAGCAAGATTTATAAATATAAAACTGAATTATACGTAAAGTCATAGAATTTCATATAAAATATTTCAGCTATAGGCAAACCGTGTCACTAACCATCTTCGGTCAAGTAAGACTACTTTCATAAAGTTTAATTTACATTTTAATTAACCAATCAATTTAATTTATTTTTTAATTAATTAATAAATGTAATGAAATTTAAAAATTCAAGGAAAATAATTTAATTTTAGGCTATCAGTGGACAGTCAGAGAAAAAGTGTAACCTACAATGACACATGGTAGTTTGTTCTGTAAATTCAACATAAACACAGGTTTGACTATATCTGGATCATAAAATTTATAAGAAAGTTCCCTATTTGGCTGAATAACATTATAGTGTATTATATTGTATATATACAATAGTAAACTTACCAGGTTGCTGCTGTGGGTAAGCTGCATCTGAACGTAAAGCAAATGAATCATTTTATAGAAATTAATATTTAAAGCCTTTTACAAAATACTCAAAAGGTTAGGATGGCTATTTTTTGTTTTCTTAGAATCTATTTCAAGTCTGTCACCTTCAGTATAAAACAACAGTCTGTATTAATATGAACATAATTATCATAAGTGGTATATGGACACAAGACTTTTGCAAATACAAAATATATTTAATCATAATAAGTGTTTGCTATTGTATTGTCCCTAACCGGGTTCATGAAACAATGAACATGGCTCCATATTTCGCTTTACTAACGAGTTTGGTTGTCTAAATCCTTTTTATTTTGTAATGTTTTCAAGTAAGACTTACAACAGTACATGAAAATTCACTGTGTACAAGCTAAATTTATACATTGTATAATTATATTTTAGCCACACTTTTATGAAAATGAAGTCGCGAGAGCAACTATTGAATGACCCTTTATTACCATGTCTAAATTACTGAGTCTCCAACAATCAAACACAAGTACTTCCATAGACAAATTTCTTTTATTTTTGTATTTGAAAAAAAAATCTATACACTCACTTGGTGGTGGTGGTCCCTTGCTATCAGGTCCTGGATAAGGTGGAGGTGCAGACATATTTCTCCCTGCAATTATAAACATTACATTATTAATTTAATTAACAATCATACCCTGCTGATAATATATACAGTCACATTTGGTCTCATACTAGACACATTGGTTTATTACTGTCAGTCTGATAATGAGATTAAATGCTCTATGACAGACCTACATGTACTGTCCTGCATTGTGCACATGTAGCCTTGATCTACATATAAGGCTCATTTTTTTCTTCTTCTTTCTTTCTTTTTAAGTCCTTTTATTCCAATTATGAGTTATTCTATGCAAAGGGAAATCAAATTCATCTTTGTATTCCTTTATATCTTACCAGTATGATATAAATGAATTTAAATTATAACAGAATAATTTACATGTTACATGTATTTAAACATTTTTTTTTAACTAAAAATTAGAGAAGTAAAGGGATAAAAAAAAAACTCAGAAATTAGAACATTGCACTAAAATTGCTTAGTTTTACGTTGAAGTCCACTATACTTTGGCAATTTTGACAAAAGAAGACAAATATCGGTCCTTCAAAATTTTTAGGGGAGCAAATGTCTGCTCTTCCATAACAGACAAGGGAGCAAAAAGAGGGATGCAGCTGTCCTGGGGGTGGGAGCTATGGTCTGTTACCCATTTAAACCAGCTTTATACAGCAAAAAAATATAATTAACAGTAATAATTGAACAAGTTTTTAATAACAAAGTGGGTAATTTAATTAATTATATCAATTCAACATGTTGTAAGTAACACTTACTTTCAATTAGTTTCCTATTACTTACTATATCTACTTTAACAATAACATGGTGAAAAAAATCTCAACAGGACTTCAATAAAGTGTATGAAGTATTCTATAGATCATAGATGTCTTATTTTTTAGATTATTTTTCACAGTTTGTTTGTGGTGTAAAATACAATCAATCATGTAATAGCCTAAAGCTAATTGTCTATTCAATGAAAGCAAATGCATTGACAAAAGATTCCATTCCTTCCAGTTCCATACTTAATATCTGGTCATGCATCGAAAAGGATGTTAAAAATCCAATACCTCCATTATGTAGAGTTTTTTATATCGCTTGAGGAGCAGGCACGATGGGCCTGCTTACAAAGCAAGCTTTACAGTAACGCCAGTACCTGCTAAATAGTGATGGTTTCGAAAACTTTCGTCCGAAGAATGAAATTGACACATCGCAACTTTTCGAATTACAAAATAACGACAAAAGCTGAGGAATTCTGATTGAAAAGGATGTGTAGACTGGTCTCCTGCATACTTCTATGGGAACCATAAAAGGACAGAGAACCAGAATAAATGGAAGCAGTGTATAAAATACTGAATGACAGTTTTAAAACCTTGCCTTTTTCATATTAACAAGTTAGAAGTAAGTTCAATTAGCTGAAAACATAGGGTGGCAGGTGAAAATCCATTAAGATTTCAACATTATTCATATATCTCACAGATCCTATTTAAAAAGAATCTAAGCTTAATTTCAGAGATAATATCTTTTAGTGTACTGTATGGACAATCAAAAGTTATTCATAGCTAATGTTTTTGTGACATGCTTATATGTTATACCGACATTTTATTTATTTGGTATCTTTTCTGTCCATCTATTTCTGTCAACATTTAACGACCTATTTCACAATGAATGCAGGGTTAAAATTTATGACATCCAGTCTTTGCCCACAACACAACTCCCTGGGTACCGCAACTCCCGTATATCATTTTTAAATACTATTTGATAAAAATAAAACATATATAAAACTTAAAAAGCCTTATGATAAAATAAACAGAGCTCGTTAAATGAATGATATTTTGAAATATTCACTATGACAGAGAAATTCATAAAAAAATATATTTTTACAGGTGTGCCAATATTTCTAGATTCTCAACATATTCAGATCAAAGAATTTCTCTTTTCTTCTTACTACTTCTTTTGAATAATATGTATGAAAACTCGTGACAAAGTGTGAGATGCTTTTTACCTTTATTTAACCAAAAAAATTGACGCAAATAATAGTGTATCCAAACTTTCTTGTGTTTATTTTGTTTCACTTCCTATTCAATGCGCATGTCCAAACGAGCCGTGTGCAAAAGGATAAAATAACTGACCGAATTTTAAAAGCGGATAAAAAAATACTGTTTAGTACATGAATGTGCCAACATGCCCGGGTCCGTTATCTAAGTGACTAAAGGGACGTATGGACACTAATTAAGCGTAGAATACACACATATATGTCACAGTTCACACTGTTCACTATTTAGGGGAGAAGTTGTGTAAGCGGCCGAATAGCCAGCCCGCATAGCTCAATCGGTTAGAGCGCGAGACTTGTAATCTCGACATTGTGGGTTCGATTCCTGGGCTGGCCAACTAAAATTACTAATCAGTCTTTCGGATGAGACTTTAAATCGAGGTCCCGTGTATGTGTGCTTAAACACTTGGCACGTTAAAGAACCAGGAGAAGCTTCTGGAATTGGGGCATCTTTCTGTATCTGTAATTGCACTATCCTCCAAAAAAAATAAAATGACTAATACTCTTCTGGAGAACTCGCCCATATGGGCAACCGGTGGCGAGTATAAATAAACGCAAATACACACACACACACAAGCGGCCGAATAGCTCAGTCGGTAGAGCCACGGTACGGTATTTCGAGGGTCACGGTTCGAGTCCTGGTCAGGCTGCATATTTTTCTCACCCTGTAAAATATATAAAAGCGAATAAGACACTATCCTGTAAGCTCGATAGGTAGAGTATCGGACGATCCGGGTTCGATTCCCGGAGGGTGCAGGTCACTTAGTTAAATAGTTAAATTGTGATTGATCATGAAATCCTTTTACGATCATTCGCACTGTACCACTACTCTTGCATGTACAGAAGTTATCAGTTCCTTGCGAAAGTGAAGGCATTTGCTCGACAACGTGTCCAGAAACGACGTGATAGCTATACTGTGCTCTGATAAATTCTTGCTTACTGCCGTGAACCGGAGTGAAAACTACCAATATCACCACATTATCACCACCACCATGAAAGCAGACAATTCAAATAGATCTACCGTCACATCTGTATTAAGTTTGTATTGTATAATTCATATTGTACCATATCAAAAATTACCAGTTACCACCAGTATTTTCTAAGCAAAAAATGCCAACATTATTTGCGATACCTGATCGAGGCTCTACGTTGAATGGTAGCCGGACATACACATACATGTAACTTTAAGCAGTCTGAATGCAAAAAACAAAAACAAAAAAAACACACGCACGCACGCACACACACACAAAAAAAACAAAAACAAATATTAAAAAATAAAATTTAAATTACCGCATATATAAACTGACCAGTGCAATTGAAATAGAAAAATATGCAAAAGATTATGAAGAGGTATATACTCAGAATTAAATTAAAAAAAATTAGTGCGTTTCTTTGCCGAATTTGAGTATTGCATAATTATCAATATTGAAATAGGATAATTTTTTTTTAAAAATGCGTATTTTAAAGTTATATACTAACAGATTCATAACCCCTGTCAGTATTTTGTCCAGGTAAGAGGATTTGTATGTTATTTTGATATGTTTTTATATGTACATTCCTTAAAAAGGGTAATGTATACACTCGGTTTTAAGTGCCAGCTTCCTACATGTAGCTTCTGCTTTGACAAAGTTATTGAAGATATAAATAGGTTACTTGTCCATATTTTGAGATTTGACAAGTGCATACTTATTCTAGTCGTTCTTTTGTATTCATTGATTTAAATTCGTAAGAATTGAAGGTCATCAAACAAGACAGAATAATTACATGTATGTTTCTGCCAATACTGCATTCGGGTGTTTAATTTATTTATATGTTTCAAATAAACCTCCAATACACAAAATTAATTCGTTCAAGCGCGTTTTAATTGCAAACTTTTACTTTAGCGTTTTTGGTTCCAAACTTGTTCTTATTGCTTTTCAGTCAAACTGGAATAAGATTTAACGAAGATCATATTTTTCAAGAACATACATGGCAATTTTGTGCAATTGTTTTATTCAACTTGCTTTCTTAAATGTTACTTTATAAAGCTTTAATATTTTTAGGGGTTCCTTATTAACTATAGTGCAGAAGTGCAAATCATTGATCTGGAAACAATAGGTACGTAACCGATAATTATTACACTTGCCGTCACTGTCCTTATTTCTTTTGCTAGTCATACCTTTATTGTCTGTTTCTTTATTTAGTTGTAAATTGCTGTCATTTATTGAATCACACTCTCCATACCCAGACTCAACATGGACATTATGTACAGCGTAAGAACGCTGTTAACGTTATATTATCATAATAAGAGCTTCTGGTGCATCATCGGATAAACAATAAATTGTATCAAAGCCATAAAAATGTAAATTTATATGTGTGTGTGTGTTTTTTAATAGCAGCTACTTTTTTCAAAGCTACATCTGATTTTCTTTTGGTATTTACCAACACTTGGTACAGCTCTGATACAAACAAATATCCCTAACTTTTATGCCTTTATACTTAATACTTGTTCTAAATACCTAGATATCACGATTAATAATTTAAGGAGAAGATAGTTCTATCCGCTTAGAAATGGATATTGAATGATTATAGATTCAATAATTTTGACAAGTTTGGCCATATAACCTGACAAAAATCCCAATAACGAAGTAATAATACAGCTTTATGTATTTAAGAGAGAAAAATGGAATTACTTAATTAAGTGGCAGCAGCCGTGTATATAGTTTATATAAACAGGCATGTGAGAAAACAACAATTATATTTATGACAAAAAATTACAAAACAGAGTAAAGTGACAGATAATGACAGATAGTATGTGAAACAATGTCAATGCTGTGAACATATGTGCGCAATAAAAATAAATGAATGAGATCGTTAAGTGCTATTAAGAACAAAATACAAATGCAAATCTTCTTGCGGAAGAATCTAGATTAAGTAAAACATGTTTGCTTTCACTATTCATAAATTGAAAATTCATGAGTATATATGATTTATGAAATAACAATTGTATAAAAAAGTCTTTATGGGGTCCTAAAAAAGGAGCAATTAAATAAATAATAACATTCATAACCGGGCTAACTATTTTAACATAACCCACAAACTCTAAGACTTCTATTCAAGTTATAAAATCTACCTGTTTTAATTGGCACTTTATAGTTCATACATGTAAAGTTGAAAACAAAACTAATGGTAAAATGTTGAATTATTTTTTAAAACCATAATCGATTTTAAAAGTTCTTCAATTTAGACATTACTAAATTTATACACTAAATACTCTAAAGAAACTGATCTTTGGATTAATTCTAACATCAATTATTCACCTAAAATATAACATAGAATTGACTGTTTGAAAATTAAGTAAATTGACAAGGGAGAAAATATTAAGAAGTATGCACAGAAAACCAAATCAAGATCAAATTGTAATTTCTTTGACATGAAACAAACCGTAGAACACATTAAAGCTTTTTATCATTAATTAATTTAACTCAGTAGGTCAGAACTATAGATTTAATTTGCACTGACAAATGCAATAGTTCTAACTCAACATATATCATACAAGATGGTGTAGATTGATTAAGTCCCTGGATCAATTTAATATATTTCAATTGGAAACGATAAAATATCTCAGACATCTGATCCACACAAAATAATAGGAACCAACATCGTATCAAATAAACTCAATTGTAGATCAATCGGCAACAAGACTTAACGAGACTTTTTAATACAGATAACATAGCTTTTTAGGCTTGATCAATATTTTTTCTGGTGCCTACAAAATTTCCATAAATTGAAAAGTGGACACCAAGATAATCAAAACAATCAACGATGTCGAGTATGTTACCCTCAAAGTCCACAGGACTCAAACCCTTTTTCCTTTTATAAATACAACTTTATTGTTTGTCTGTTTTTTTTGCTGCCCAAGTACTACAGTAATGATAAATTTAATTCAATGTTGTTGTTTTTTTTTTAACTCAATAGGATTATAAATATTAACTGTGGCATCAAAACAATTTAAACTTCAAAATTTGTGCTTTAAGTATGGCGTAACTTATCCGACAAAGAATTTAATCCTTTGAGATTCTGAGAAAGGAATGAGCTCAAAAAAGGCCAACGAGGCAAAGACAACGTTTACATGATGCAGCCCTGTCAAGTCATTTAAGAACAGTGAAAATAAAACTGCGGAAAATGTTCGCCTTGACATACGACAGACAAACAGTAAAGATTGTCATTGACTCTAACGCATGACTTAAGGTAAAATCTCCCTAATACATTACCACCGATTTGTAGAGTATTCTAATAGGCTAGAACGACTGTCTTTTGCTTTGAAATTGTCGTTAGAAGTGTCTATTTTTTCTTATTTTTTTCTATTAACATTTTTAATGTATCTCTCAGATACCTCATGAGAAGATAAAAGTGTTTAATATAAATTATTTGATTTTTTTATATTTATTGGCCAAATTATGCTAAAAATTAATAAAAAATATGGTAGCTGATATCTAAGTCGAATAAAATCAAAACTACACGTTAAAGTATCTAATATTTGACGCGATCAACCAAAAATTATATACTTGTATAAAACTTTAGGCAAAGTTTGAAACCAGACCCTTTCTTTGGTAAATTTAAGGGTTATTTTGAAAAAAGTTGTCTAAGTAGGAAAATGGTCAAACTCGTGTTTATATAATGGGTCGGGTAGGGTTAACATTTTTATACATGTATATTTCAAACATTTTAGTAGAAAAAATCATTTTTCTTTTGTGATTTGCACCTGAATACTAATATTTGTTTCTTTACATTGATCAATAAGAAAACATTTTTCATGGTGATAATATAGAGTATTTAAAGTTTCCTAATTTCGAAAAAAATGCCTTTCTAATATTCAAGCTTAGTTCAGGAAAAATATCCATAATTCTGTAACCATACGATAAATTTTGCTTATATTTTGCATACAGGTATCTTTTTAGGCACCTAAGTGATATTTGTTGTCATTTTTTTCAGTCCCTTATAGTGCCCATAAACTATGGGAGGCTTATATTAATAATGTCATACATGTATACTGTTTAATAAAGAAGTTTATAATATCTTTAATTAAACATTTACCATCTATATTTGAACTTAACCACTTATTCCATAAGAATTAAAGACTATTACACAACTTTTAATTTATTTTTGTGTATGACTTTAATGTGTACAGTCAGTTATATTTATGTATATATTATTCAATAACTAATATATATAGTACAGTAAATTGAAAGTTATCTCTAGCATGTCTATATCATTATTTATTATTATTTTATTGTTTATCCGACACAATAGTATTTCAATTAAGTCAAACTTATGATATCAAAATCAGTAAAACAATACATTTTCTGAAAGCTTATGTATTTGTCTATGGCTGCAGGTAAAAATATTTACAGTTCCCATTTAAATAAATGTTACATCATTTTTTAAAGAGAACTACTATAATAATTTTTGTTACAAAACTATTCATATGACAAAAAACTGGCTCAGTGGGTATGTTCTGCCATGTTTTTCTAAGTGAAAGGCATGGAAAGTTGCCAATATTTTAGCATGCAACAATAGATAAAAGATTTATCTTTCAAATGGTATATAATATTAAAGGATCAAATGTATATTCATTAAGTTTTATTTGCTACAAAATGCCTAATTTTTCACTTTTTGATAGGCATGAGTGATATTTCAATGGAGTATATAGGAGCTGCTTATCTCTGTTATCTATGTCACTGGTTTTGTGAAATGTTTATATGCATACTGTACCGACAATAAATAAATTTTATTTGATTTCATAGAAGTTTTCCTATAATCTTATTCTATCTAAGAGAAAGGAAGAAAGTTATTTTATGTCCCAGAATCTATAAAACCACAATATTTTTGTTGACCAAGTATAAAAGTACAAAACCGGGTTTTAAAACGCGGTTTTGTATTTTATCCGACCGGAAGAAGGTCGACAACGACAATATTTTTGTAACAATATTTAGGCCATGCCTCTACGCCGCAAATTTTAAAAAATAAAAGGAAAAAATGTCTAAAAGGAGTAGAAAGGTTTCGAAAAAGAAAAGCCAGAAAGAGAACAATGAAAATTCTATAAAGATTGCAAATGAACTTTCAGATAATCAAATATTCAGGAAGGAGGAGTATTCCATGCTCTTTACAGATTACAGACTGAAAACGTTTACAGACTGGCCGTTTGATGAAGACAACTCCTGCAATCCCTATGCTGTAAGAATAACAATTATTTCGAATACTTAAATTATTTTTGAATGTAATCATTTAATGTACATTTTGTTTATCACATATACTTTTGATTATGATAGTTTGTATCCATTGATTGATCTAGGGGGTCCTACTAAACACTGCTAAGGACTGCTAAGGACCGCTAAGGACTGCTAAGGAGCCACAAAGGACTACTAAAGAGGCACAAAGGACCTTAAAATACCTCCTAGGCCATTCTTATATTATATGGTATTATTTTTAGTGAAAATAAAATTATAATTTTAAGAAAAAATATGATTTTGGTGAAAATTTTATGAGTTGTCGGACCGCTAAGGACTGCTCAGATACACAAAAGACTGCTAGGGAGGCACAAAGGACCTTAAAATACCTCCTAGGGCATTCTTATAATACAAGGTAGTATGTTTAGTGACAAAAAATGTATTATTTTAAGAAAAAATATCATTTTAGTGATAAAATTTATGTTTTTGAAGAGTTGTCGGACCGCTAAGGACTGCTCAGGTGCACTAACAACTGCTAGGGAGGCACAAAGGACCTTCAAATCCCTCCTAGAACATTCTTATAATATATGGTAGTAAGTTAATAGACAAAAATGTATTATTGTAAGAAAAAAATATAATTTTGGTGATAGAATTTATGCTTTCGGATGAGTTGCAGGACCGCTAAGGACTGCTCAGGTGCGAAAAGGACTGCTAGGCAGGCACAAAGACCTATAAATATTTCCTAGGGAGGCACAAAGGACCTTAAAATAACTGTTGGGGCATTCTTATAATTCATGGTAGTATGTTTAGTGACAAAAAATGTATAATTTTAAGAAAAAATTTCATTTTAGTGATAAAATTCATGTTTTTGAAGAGTTGTCGGACCGCTAAGGACTGCTCAGGTGCACTAACAACTGCTAGGGAGGCACAAAGGACCTTCAAATCCCTCCTAGAACATTCTTATAATATATGGTAGTAAGTTAATAGACAAAAATGTATTATTGTAAGAAAAAAATATAATTTTGGTGATAGAATTTATGCTTTCGATGAGTTGCAGGACCGCTAAGGACTGCTCAGGTGCGAAAAGGACTGCTAGGCAGGCACAAAGACCTATAAATATTTCCTAGGGAGGCACAAAGGACCTTAAAATAACTGTTGGGGTATTCTTATAATTCATGGTAGTATGTTTAGTGACAAAAAATGTATAATTTTAAGAAAAAATATCATTTTAGTGATAAAATTCATGTTTTTGAAGAGTTGTCGGACCGCTAAGGACTGCTCAGGTGCACTAACAACTGCTAGGGAGGCACAAAGGACCTTCAAATCCCTCCTAGAACATTCTTATAATATATAGTAGTAAGTTAATAGACAAAAATGTATTATTGTAAGAAAAAAATATAATTTTGGTGATAGAATTTATGCTTTCGATGAGTTGCCGGACCGCTAAGGACTGCTCAGGTGCGAAAAGGACTGCTAGGGACCTTAAAATATTTCCTAAGGAGGCACAAAGGACCTTAAAATACCTGTAAGGGCATTCTTATAATTCATGGTAGTATGTTTAGTGATAAAAAATGTATAATTTTAAGAAAAAATATTATTTTAGTGATAAAATTCATGTTTTTGAAGAGTTGTCGGACCGCTAAGGACTGCTCAGGTGCACTAACAACTGCTAGGGAGGCACAAAGGACCTTCAAATCCCTCCTAGAACATTCTTATAATATATGGTAGTAAGTTTAGTGAGAAAAAATGTATAATTTTAAGAAAAAATATAATTGTGGTGATAGAATTTATGTTTTCGATGAGTTGCTGGACCGCTAAGGAGAGCTCAGGTGCGCAAAGAACTGCTAGGGAGGCACAAAGGACCTTAAATTACTTCCTAGGGCATTCTTATAATATATGGTAGTATATTTAGTGAGAAAATATGTATAATTTTAAGAAAAAATATAATTTTAGTGATAAAATTTATGTTTTTGAAGAGTTGTCGGACCGCTAAGGACTGCTCAGGTGCACTAACAACTGCTAGGGAGGCACAAAGGACCTTCAAATCCCTCCTAGAACATTCTTATAATATATGGTAGTAAGTTAATAGACAAAAATGTATTATTGTAAGAAAAAAATATAATTTTGGTGATAGAATTTATGCTTTCGATGAGTTGCAGGACCGCTAAGGACTGCTCAGGTGCGAAAAGGACTGCTAGGCAGGCACAAAGACCTATAAATATTTCCTAGGGAGGCACAAAGGACCTTAAAATAACTGTTGGGGCATTCTTATAATTCATGGTAGTATGTTTAGTGACAAAAAATGTATAATTTTAAGAAAAAATATTCATTTTAGTGATAAAATTCATGTTTTTGAAGAGTTGTCGGACCGCTAAGGACTGCTCAGGTGCACTAACAACTGCTAGGGAGGCACAAAGGACCTTCAAATCCCTCCTAGAACATTCTTATAATATATGGTAGTAAGTTAATAGACAAAAATGTATTATTGTAAGAAAAAAAATATAATTTTGGTGATAGAATTTATGCTTTCGATGAGTTGCAGGACCGCTAAGGACTGCTCAGGTGCGAAAAGGACTGCTAGGCAGGCACAAAGACCTATAAATATTTCCTAGGGAGGCACAAAGGACCTTAAAATAACTGTTGGGGCATTCTTATAATTCATGGTAGTATGTTTAGTGACAAAAAAATGTATAATTTTAAGAAAAAATATCATTTTAGTGATAAAATTCATGTTTTTGAAGAGTTGTCGGACCGCTAAGGACTGCTCAGGTGCACTAACAACTGCTAGGGAGGCACAAAGGACCTTCAAATCCCTCCTAGAACATTCTTATAATATATGGTAGTAAGTTAATAGACAAAAAATGTATTATTGTAAGAAAAAAATATAATTTTGGTGATAGAATTTATGCTTTCGATGAGTTGCCGGACCGCTAAGGACTGCTCAGGTGCGAAAAGGACTGCTAGGGACCTTAAAATATTTCCTAAGGAGGCACAAAGGACCTTAAAATACCTGTAAGGGCATTCTTATAATTCATGGTAGTATGTTTAGTGATAAAAAATGTATAATTTTAAGAAAAAATATTATTTTAGTGATAAAATTCATGTTTTTGAAGAGTTGTCGGACCGCTAAGGACTGCTCAGGTGCACTAACAACTGCTAGGGAGGCACAAAGGACCTTCAAATCCCTCCTAGAACATTCTTATAATATATGGTAGTAAGTTTAGTGAGAAAAAATGTATAATTTTAAGAAAAAATATAATTGTGGTGATAGAATTTATGTTTTCGATGAGTTGCTGGACCGCTAAGGAGAGCTCAGGTGCGCAAAGAACTGCTAGGGAGGCACAAAGGACCTTAAATTACTTCCTAGGGCATTCTTTATAATATATGGTAGTATATTTAGTGAGAAAATATGTATAATTTTAAGAAAAAATATAATTTTCGTGATAGAATTTATGTTTTCGATGAGTTGCCAGACCGCTAAGGACTGCTCAGGTGCGAAAAGGACTGCTAGGGAGGCACAAAGGACCTTAAGTTACTTCCTAGGGCATTATTATAATATATTGTAGTAGGTTTATAGATAAAAAATGTAATATTTTAAGAAAAAAAATAATTTTGGTGATAGAATTATGTTTTCGATGAATTGGAGGACCGCTAAGGGGCACAAAGGACTGCTAGGGAGGCACAAAAGACCTTAAATTAATAATTGTTAGAGTATAGTAATTCTATTTAATTTTGTTTAGTGATCTTTCTATTTTTATGTATTTTGGTGTTGATTATTATGTTTTGGATGAGTAACAGGACTGCATAGGATGTGAAAATTGACTAGGTCTTTAAGTAAATGCTCTTATGTTAAGTGGTAATCAAATGTATAAAGAAAATCACTGTAGTGAATGAAATTATATTATGAAGAATTGAAGAAGAACAATTTTAAGTTCAAAGGAAATCAGAAAATAAATGTAATAAATGATCAAAAAAACAAAAAATTAATTTTCTGTCTACTCAGAACTCATTTGCTTTCTTCTCACATTTGAATATTAAGGATAGGGAAACTTGATATAGACATACATTGAAAATTGTTTTCACATATAACAGAATATTCACTTGTTGAATTGAAAGAATCTATGCACTAATTATATTACAATGAAAACAAACACTGTCATTATTTGATAAACCTGTATTGCATGTTATGTCAAGGCATAATCTTGAACTATGTAATACTATGTAAACTTCTGTATTTAAACTTCAATGATTTATATTTGTTGTTTTATTATGGTGATAATTTCATAAACTTTGATTTGGATTGATTTGAAGTCTTTTTTTTCAATTTAAAAGAATCTGGATTTATTTTACCATTTTCAAGACAGTGACATATGAATTGTCAATAAATGGATTATCAGTAATGTATATTGGGGTCAATTCCAAATTAAAGAAATCAGTTGTTTATTGTCAACACCTTTTACATATCAACACCTTCAAACTATCATCACAGGTGACAGCTCCACTATCATAAAGGTGGGGCGGTAAAAATTTGCATACTAATTACTGTGGATTAATAAATTATTGTGACAACTAAAACAAGCAGCCAATCAAGATAGTCATGTCCTCTAATTAATTTACAAAATTCACACCCATAAAGACTGCAGCCAATCAGTGATAATCTGTTTATTTGCATAAACTCCCATTTCCTTTAAAGTGGCCAATCAATAATAATTACTAAATTTAATGTGAATTTTAATTGCTTTTGTAAATAAACACTTAATTTTCAAAATCTATAAATAAAAAAATAGATAATTATGCAGTCATTCAATCTAGTTCTATTGTTATAAATTGATCATAGTGCTGGTTATTGTTAAATCTTATTGTTGGATTCATTTTCAGGTTATTTATCACATATACAAAATAAGAACAGTGAACTGTTAAAATGAGTATTCAATTCTACAATGACGCGCCTATAGTGTAACGCTATGTTTATATATAGCGCAAATGACGTCATGTCAAAGTGTTATT